TTATAGCGATTTTTATGGCTTAACAGGCTTGAGAAATGAAGCGAGTATAATTAGGATGGAAGCATTTTTATTGGATGAAAAATAGAGCACTTTAAATATTATTTTATTTTTCGACCAGAACACGTGTGTCGGGAACATTTGTAAAGAAAGTTAATGGTCATTTTGTGACAGGGCTTTGTCCCGTTCACATCCGGTTCTCGCTCTTGAGTATTTGCCTGTAAATCAGCCGAGATATGTCTTATTTTATTTTATAACAAAGGGAAGATTAACAAAAAAGGTCCATGCGCCCTCTACAACTTGAAAAACAAATGTCTAAGGTTCAAGGGAAATAACTAATCCCTTATTTATTAATTTTGTTTTATTTTAAATATTATCTACAAACTGCAATTTTTCAACATCATGTGCTCGTGGTCTAAGAATAAAAGGCTTTCAGAATAAGCAATGGAGGTTGATTTTTTTCAAAATTTAATAAGTGGATTGAAGTGAGTAGGATTGGTTTTGAATTTGGTTGATTCGAATAAACAAATGGTATGTAAACAAACAAAACTAATTTTAAAGGGATTTAAAACAACTTTATCAAAAACCGTGGAGTAATGGATAGCAGCTTGGATTGAGGAATTGGAGAGCAGAGTTCAAATTCCAGTCAGACGCATTAGTTTCACTTACATGCTAATACACTTGGGAAAGGTATGAATCTTCTTCTCCCTCCAGCTATGGGTAAATTGCAGGACAGACAAGGTTCTATAGCCTTGGATAGCAACTGGTCTACTGCTGAAAGAAATGGCAATCTACTTTGGAAAAAAAAAAAAAAATGCCTCGTCAGTCATACATCAGAAGATACATGATCGCTCAAGTGTGGATCATGCATGGCAGATAATTGACTGACACCCCAAATTAAGATAAACCTAAGAAGACAGGCTTCTGCTGTTTCGATTAATTTGACTAAAATATTATTTTGAATTTCTATATTACATCCTTCAGATTTTTTTATTTGTTTTCTGGATTCTTCTATCATTCTTGCATATAGCCATGGACAGCAAAAAGCCAATTCTGTGGCATTATCCATCACCCACCAGCACATCCAAGCTTACAGCATATGGTATCCCCAAGCAGTCACCCATCTACGTAATGACCAGGCTTGACGTTGATCATTAAAACCAGTGTTTCAATGTGATGATCATACAAAATATATATATATATGTTTATATATATATATATGGCCATAAGAAGACACATCTATTGTATATTAAATAAGTAGTTAATTATACATATATATATTTTATTTATATTTATATTCACTTTTCACATATATATATATATATATATATATATATATATATATATTTGTATGCTTCTTTGGAGTAAGGTCCTTCACAGACAATGGCCATAGGACAACTAATTGGCAGTCGAGACAGTAGTGTCTGGGTGTGATAAAAATCTGATGCAATCACAGATGATGCAATATTTTTCAAAGCCACACAAGTTTCACCATACACCCTAAAAATAAATTCATATTACTGCACACCACTGCAAATGATCTAATCTGAGGACAAAATAGAGATTGATTACACCCTGTCACTCCCATGGGTCTAAAATTGACCGTATGGTGAAAGAAAGGAAACTAAAGTGGTTGTTTCAATTAATTTGCACAAGGGTGTAGGTACTGACCAGGATCGATATTGCTTAACTTCGGTGATTGTATGGAAACTAGTGTTTCAATGTGATCTGGCCACAAGTTTAAAACTGTGCTTTTTACTATTGATAATGCCTTACTATTGATTTTGCTGTCCTGCTTAATTCGTAACATTTTGCTGTTATCAACTATGTTGGCACATTTTCAAACTCACATTTGTATTTTTTTCCTGTTTTGCGGCATATCAACCTCTACATGTTATTGAATGCTGAAATCTAAATATTTTGTACGCAATATTATCTATTTACTTATTTTGGGGGATAATAATGATTTTAGTGATGCAAGTCTTACTAATTAACCCATAGCTGGGGGAGAAAAGGTGGATTCATACCTTTCCCCAGGGTATTTGTGTGTAAATGAATATAATGAATCCAACTGGAGTTGGAACTCAGCTCTCTGATTAACAATTCTAAGCCATTATCCAGTGCGCACACACATTAGAGCACCTGATATTCTCAAATAGTCACCCATCTAGGCACTGACAAGGCTCGACATTGCTTAACTTTGGTGATTGTATGAGGACTGGTGTTTCAATGTAATGTGAACTCACATTTGCAAAATAAAAAGTATAGATAACACTTTAAGAAGTCAGGGATCAATTTGATGTCCTATTTATACTATGAACAGGACCCCCTCTTCTAAAATGATAAGAAAAAATCAATATATGTTGTGAGCGGAGAAATGTCTAATGAATAATAATCTCAAAAAATTGTTAAAAATGAATTTTTTTTTTTTTAGAATGGACCAGATAATTTAAGAAGTGCCATTTTCACTGATCTGTCAATATTTGGCTGGTAGCATAGACTGAACAGATCAACTAATTGTTTGACAAAGGAAAAAAATAATTTATTTTATGGATGGGTTATTGAATGCCGACAAGATTTTTATTGCTGGTTATATTTTTTTTCAAAAATTGATTGCTAGTAATAATTGTTTGGAAAAAATGTTTTGCTAGTATTAATTGTTTTACAAAAATGTTTAGCTAGTAATAATTGTTTGGCAAAAATGTATTGCTAGTAATAATTGTTTTTCAAAAATGTATTACTAGTAATAATTGTTTTGCAAAAACATATTGCTGATAACATATTTTTTTCAAAAATGTATTGCTAGTAATAAATTTTTTTCAAAAATATATTGCTGGTAATATTTGTTTTTTCCAAAATGTATTACTGGTAAAAATATTTCCGAAAAAGTATTGTTGGTATTAAAATGTATTTTTATACTTTCATATTGTATCGACTGCTTTTGGTGGTGGTTAACTATTTCTTATTAGCTGGGACCCTGGCACAAGGCCACAATATTTGAATAATACTGAGAGACTTGCAAGTTCAGCATGACAATGGTAGTTGCCTAGATTTTATTGCATAAATTGTAAATCTAATTGTGTGAGTTGGCCTTGTGATATTAATTCAAGTTGAATTAAAATATTTCTATTCTTGTGGATAATACAATGTTAAATGTCTGAAAACACCAAACTGTATAAATACACATCGATGGTAAGATTGAGACAAATATTTCTTGTGGTTTTTGAAAGATTTTTTTGTTGAACTTGTTTTTCTCCATACAACACTCCTTGTCTTGTCAGTGTTTGAAGAAAGTAATAGTTTCAAGATGACAAAATTTTGACTACTTGCAGAAGAATTTCTCATTCCAGTATTTACAACATGAGGATGGGCACTGTCATATGGCGAAAAAAAATGTAAAAAAAAAAAAAAAAAATTTCTTTTTGGAGGTGTGGGTGTCACTGCATAATTGAAGAGAAATCAGGTTTCAGTTATTTGGAACCAAGACTACACTAAGATTTCACTCACTTTCTAACCAATGTGGTGTGGCATCCCTCTGTCTTTTCTAAAAATATTTTCACGGCAATTGCTCTGACAAGTCCCTCACCCCGGTACCCTGACGACATGAATTTAAGCATGCTACTAGATTGGCATCTAGGTCCCACCCGTTTACTCTTGAAATAGCTAAATGCAACCGTCACTTCTACTCCAACGGATTCTTTTCTTGCACTATCCACCTGTGGAATTCCCCAGTGTTTACTTGCTTCCCTGATAAGTACAATCTTCAAAAATTTAAATGCAATGTCATATATATATATATATATAATATAATATATATATAATAATATATAATATATATATATATATATATATATATATATATATATATATATATATATATATAATAAGCTACTGTTTACAATCAAGTATTAACAAGATCGTTCCTTAACTTTTTGTTCAGTAACTTATTTCCTTTGTTCCATTTAATCTTTATTTTAAAAAAAAAACTATTATGCAAATTTTTGTAATTTTGTATAAATGTATAATTTTATTCGTAAAAATTTCAAAATTTTATTTTTTAAGTAATACACATATTTATGTCTTTGTTGTTTCGTTCCTTATATTATGGCTTTAAATTTATATGGCTATATATATATATTATATTTTAAAAAGAAATACAAATTTTTATGTGTAATTGTTTATTGAGAAAAATATTATACTTTTGTTTTACATAATTTCATGTTTCAAAGAAAATTCGGATTGCCAACTGTCTCATATCGATATTCCACATTGAACATGAAGAAAAATTAATTATTTTTATATATATATTTCATATATATATATATATATATATATAAAACAAAGTATAATATTTTTTTTTTCATATATATAACCAAAAAACGTTTATATATAATATATATATATATATATATATATATATATATATATATATATATATATATATATATATATATATATATATATATATATATATATATATATATATATATATATATATATATATATATATATATGTGTGTGTGTGTGTGTGTGTTGAATCTGAGGCCCTCACCAACAAATTTGTGTGTTCTTTTCTTATCAGAACAATGAGAGTGCATTTTCCAAGCCGCTGTGCCTTCGTAATTATCACTAGCCTAATCTAACTCTTTCAATCCTCTGCACTGTCCTCCGATTGACACCCAAACATTTATGGGGGGGGGATGCTGAAGATGTGCAAATGTTGAATAATAAATTTCTTCTAAATTTTTTGAGTTTTAATTTTTTTTATCTTATCAGGCATGCGTGGACATGTAATCTCGATGGACCTCATTTCTGTTTCCTTTTGCATTTGTTTTGTTTACAAGTTACATAGAATGTTTGTTTCCCCTTCAATTACCTAACATTGTCCTGATATACAGAAATTTTTTTATCATATTCTCTCATTCATATATATATATATATATATATATATATATATATATAGATAGATATATAGATATGTGTGTGCGTGTTTATATACTTACCTTTGATACCATCTGAGGGTCTTCAGTGTACTCTGCAAGAACTTTAGCTGCTTCGATTCTAAAATGCTGAAATGGAAAAATATATAGCAGTTTAAAATTTTTTAACAATAACACCTTGGGCCCTCCCCCCATAAAAGTAAATAAAGATTAAATATGGGGATGCTCAGCCCCTTCAGCACTGCCCCCAAGTGTTGTATTGATCGTGTGGTATTTTCTTAAATTTAGTTATTTTATAACAAACTAAAAAACAATGAAGTTTATTTTTTAAAGATGCAATAAACAATTATTTTCCATAAGAAAACACCAATAAATTGTCAATAATAAATTATTATTCAGAGATCTTCCGAGCAATGCTGGGTATCCCTGCTAGTTAATTATAAAAAATTAAATGGAAATCTGGTATTTATATTTCTAAAAAAATTTGGTATTAATTACATGTTGGTTGGTTGTCATTGTTTAGCAGCATATCAACCTGTATGGGTTATTTAATACTTAAATCTTAATATGAACGCTTGATAATTAATTCAAGAAAATGATTAAATTATAATTATAATTAGTTTCATTTTTTTTAACCAAATAATCTTACAAAATCAAACAAGGAGTGAAAACGTTTTTCCCCTTACAATAAATGAGATTAATCAAAGCAAATTGTTTCATTTTTTTACTTTTCTGACAATGTATGCCATCTCTTCAATTTTACTATTAAAAGGATTGTCATTTTGCTATAAAATGTATCGTTGCTAATTCTACTATAAAATGTATCATTGTTCATTCTGCTATAAAACATATCGTTGGTCATTCTGCCATAAGACGTATCGTTGGCAATTCTACTATAAAACGTATCATTGGTCATTCTGCTATAAAATGTATCGTTTTTAATTCTACTATAAAACGTATTGTTGGTCATTCTGCTATAAAACATATTGTTGGTAATTCTGCTATAAAACGTATCGTTGGTCATTCTGCTATAAAACGTATCGTTGGTAATTCTGCTATAAACGTATCGTTGGTAATCTGCTTCTGTTAAGTCTGCTAAAACGTATCGTTGGTCATTCTGCTATAAAACGTATCGTTGGTCATTCTGCTATAAAACGTATCGTTGGTCATTCTGCTATAAAACGTATCGTTGGTCATTCTGCTATAAAACATATTGTTGGTCATTCTGCTATAAGACGTATCGTTGGCCATTCTGCTATAAAACGTATCGTTGGCCATTCTGCTATAAAACATATTGTTGGTCATTCTGCTATAAAACGTATCGTTGGCCATTCTGCTATAAAACATATCGTTGGTCATTCTGCTATAAAATGTATCGTTGGTCATTCTGCTATAAAACATATTGTTGGTCATTCTGCTATAAAACGTATCGTTGGTAATTCTACTATAAAACATTCTGCTATAAAACGTATCGTTGGTCATTCTGCTATAAACTATAAAATGTATCGTATTCGCTGGTCATTCTGCTATAAAACATATTGTTGGTCATTCTGCTATAAAATATATTCTGCTATAAAACATATCGTTGGTCATTCTGCTATAAAACGTATCGTTGGTCATTCTGCTATAAAACGTATCGTTGGTCATTCTGCTATAAAACATATTGTTGGTCATTCTGCTATAAAGCGTATCGTTGGCCATTCTGCTATAAAACATATCGTTGGTCATTCTGCTATAAAATGTATCGTTGGTAATTCTACTATAAAATGTATTGTTGGTCATTCTGCTATAAAATGTACTGATAGTAATTCTATGAACAATACATTTTATAGTAGAATTACCAACAATACATTTTAATAATTCTTTTTTATAATCTTTAATCCCATGATTGTGTTCCTTCCACACAGCTGGATTAAAATTCATTCATGCTTAGCATGTCTTGGGCAAGTAGACCTGGTGGAGCCATCCCTCTCCAGGTTAAACCATAGTCAATGTCCTTCTACTTGAAGGTTTGCTTTGGCCATTGATTCCATTTTGGAGAACAATACACCTTGGCTGTTGACTTAAGTCTTGGAAGCCCTCTGCCCAGCAATGCCATGTCATCACTGCACTGTGTTCCTTCCACACACCTGTATTTGTATAATCTTCTGTTATCTGGTTGTGTCTATTCTAAATTTAACACCCTTGTCCTAAATGATGAAGCTTTAGAGAAAACTAGATGTATAACCCATCTTCTACCGGGTGTTTCATTACTGGGAATTTTTGCCGTTCAACTGAAGCAGTTTCAAGTCAGCCCACCCAAAAATCAAAATTATTAACGACAATTGGGTGCAACTGAGGCACATCCCCAAATGAGGGGGTTAACAATTTGAATGGGGGGATCCCTGAAAAGGGCTGTTTTTGAGTTCTCAATCTTGCAAGGAAGAAACCTCTTCCATGGACTGTCATAATAATAATATACATAATTTATATTTAGAAAATAATTTTTTTTATAATTCTAATAATGTTTTGCGTTAGATTTCAACTGTATAAATTGATTGTATGGTTTTTTTTGTTTTTTTTACATACATTAAATTTTGCCTTTGATTTTTGTGCAAAGTGTAAAAAATCAGTTTTTTTCAATTTTTTCTGTGAGAGAGCGACTGTAAACCAGATGCCAGATCAGGGCCAATTACATTGCATATCTGTCTGTGGATTTTGTCGAGGATCTTAAGATGAACAGTGAGGGTTCCAGACCATATATTTTTGAGATAATAATGATTCAGTGATACAAGTCTTACTAATTAACCCATAGCTGGGGTGAGAAGAGGTGAATTCATACCTTTCCCAAGGATATTTAGACATAAGTAAATTTAATGAAGCTAACAGAAATTGAACATGACTCTTTGATTAATAATTCCGAGCCATTATCAATTATACCAGATGCACATTGAAGCTTACAGCACCTGGTATTCTAAAGTGGTCACCCATCTAGGTACTGACCAAGCTTGATGTTGTTTAACTTCGTTTATCCTACAAAAACCATTGTTGCAAGGTGGTATATCTGTAAGCCATACTACCCACAAATCCAAGTGCACAGCACTTGGTATTCCCTAGTGGTCACCCATCTAGCTACTGACCAGTCTCAACATTGCTTAACTACGGTTACCACATGGAAACCAATGTTTCAACATGATATTACTCTAAGCCATACAAACAGCACATCCAGGCTGATAGTATCTGTTATTCCCAAGCAGTCACCCATCTAGGTACTGATCAGACTCAATGTTGCTTAACTTTGATCATCACATGGGAACTGGTTTTTCAATGTGATATGGCTGTAAGCCATACCAACAACACACCTAAGCTCACAGCATTTGGTATTCTCAAGCAGTCGCCTATCTAGCTACTGGCCAGTCTCAACATGGGAACCAATGTTTCAACGTGATATGACAGTAAGCCATACTAACAGCACATCCAGGCTGATAGTACCTGGTATTCCCAAGCAGTCATCCATCTTGGTACTGATCAGACTCAATGTTGCTTAATTTTGATCATCAATGGAAACTTGTTTTTCAATGTGATATAGTTACTAATATGATGTTCAGCATCCTTAGGGAAAAAAAATATATTTTTCATGTAAATCAATCCTAGTTTTAAGCAATTAATACAATTAAAGAAATAAAAGATAGATGAAATAAATGATCCTAAGAGAATATTTAATGATTGGAAGAATTTTATGCATCAGAAATAAAACTGATTTGTTAAATTTTCCATTTGCATAAATTTACAATAAAATATCAATATTAGAATAAACCTGCAAAGAACACAATTATTAAAAAAAAATTTTTAATTTAATAAAGAAAAGAATAAAATAAAATTAAGAATAAAAACCAAAACGAAGCCATTCTAAAAATACATTGACTCGTCTAAAAGCCATACTTAAAAACAGAAAAATCATCCGTTTCAATACAGGAAACATTTGAGATTCATTGACCAAACATTTCGTGAAACTTTCGGTCGATATTTATAAAATTGGTTTCACTGTCTCATCTTTATTTCCACACAGTCGACATTTATTGTTTACCTGTTTCTTTTTTTTTCTTTCATTTTTAAAACAATCTCTGGCTTTTATGTAGTGACATAGGCAAAATAGACTTGGCCAATTTTGCAAAGAGTCCAGCGACTACTAAATAAGTCAGTCATCACTCAGTAGATGGAGGACTTCTACGTCACAGACTAGAAGACGTCAGAACACTTTACATAACTGGTTCTTTTCTTATGCTCTTGTTTTGTGCTACTAATAAGACCGATTCAGTTTCTGTAAGGTTTCCTCTACGTTAGTGGTTCTCAAACAATGCTGCATGCCTCATAGGTGCAGCCGAAGAGGATAGCAGGTGAGGCAGAATGATTGAAAGACATTCAATGATTAGAAACAGTTTCAAAAACTCATACCAAAAATAAAAATTAAATATTAAATTTTAATTATTACTATGGATTACTTGTAATTACATGCAGGAGTCCCAGTATAATTTTTTTTTCTTTTTTTTTAAGCATTACGCCCCACTAGGATGCAGGGGGTTGCAGAAGATTTGGAGTGAGAGCAGATAGGAGTGATAGAAGAAAGGATGAGGAGAGGGATAGTGGATAGATCAAGGTAACTGGAGATGTCAATTGACATTACTTTTGAATAGCTGGAGATTATAGCTATCAGGAAAACAGGAATAGGGAAGGGTGTTCCACAGGCGAGAGGTACGAGGTATGAAGCTATTGGAGTAGAAGAGACGGCTACATTTAAAAGTTTCTACAGTGAAAGGGTGAGAGCGGGATGCCAGCCTCATAGGGTGCTTGAATTCATGAAGTCTAGGAACCAGTGAAAGCAGCTCATCGGAGCAATTACCATGAAAGTACTTGTAAAAAAGACAGGGTGATTTTATCATTGTTATATTTTTGCATTATATCAAGTATTAATAACGTAGTAACTAGGGTCTGCAAATTGGAGGAGAGAGTTATCAATGATAATGTTCTGACTTTGAATCCATGATTATCTCCCTTTTACCAATTCTCTATTTTTTATTTTGAAATGTACTTCATATTATTTCCATTGTTTGGACTCATCTTCATTGCCATGTTCACAATGTTTTGGCCATTCTACACACTGAGGGTAACAGTTTGAACAATGTAAATAATTACAATATTTCATCTCAGAAATATAGAGAGATCCTGAAGAAGGTTGGAGAGTACAACGGCCGAAACGTCATGAATATGGCAATAAAGATAAAGACAACAGTCCGAACAATGTAAATAATTACAATAACTCATCTCAGAAATATAGAGAGATCCTGAAGAAGGTCGGAGTGTACAATGGCTGAAATGTCATGAATATGGCAATAAAGATAAAGACAACAGTCCGAATAATGTAAATAATTACAATAACTCATCTCAGAAATATAGAGAGATCCTGAAGAAGGTCGGAGTGTACAATGGCCGAAATGTCATGAATATGGCAATAAAGATAAAGACAATAGTCCGAACAATGTGAATAATGTAAATAATTACAATATTTCATCTCAGAAATATAGAGAGATCCTGAAGAAGGTTGGAGAGTACAACGGCCGAAACGTCATGAATATGGCAATAAAGTTAAAAGACAACAGTCCGAACAATGTAAATAATTACAATAACTCATCTCAGAAATATAGAGAGATCCTGAAGAAGGTCCAAACAAATGTCAAATATGGCAATAAAGATAAAGACAACAGTCCGAATAATGTAAATAATTACTCATCTCAGAAATATAGAGAGATCCTGAAGAAGGTCGGAGGTACAATGGCCGAAATGTCATGAATATGGCAATAAAGATAAAGACAATGGTCCGAATAATGTGAATAATGTAAATAATTACAATAACTCATCTCAGAAATATAGAGAGATCCTGAAGAAGGTCGGAGTGTACAATGGCCGAAATGTCATGAATATGGCAAAAAGATAAAGACAACAGTCCGAATAATGGCAATAATTAGAATAACTCATCTCAGAAAATGGTCCTGAAGAAGGTCGGAAATGGCCGAAATGTCATGAATATGGCAATAAAGATAAAGAATCCGAATAATGTAAATAATTACAATAACTCATCTCAGAAATATAGAGAGATCCTGAAGAAGGTCGGAGTCATGAATATGGCAATAAAGATAAAGACAATGGTCCGAACAATGGTAAATAATTACAATAACTCATCTCAGAAATATAGAGATCCTGAAGAAGGTGTAAGAAAAATGTCATGAATATGGCAATAAAGATAAAGACAACAGTCCGAATAATGTAAATAATTACAATAACTCATCTCAGAAATATAGAGAGATCCTGAAGAAGGTCGGAGTGTACAATGGCCGAAATGTCATGAATATGGCAATAAAGATAAAGACAACAGTCCGAATAATGTAAATAATTACAATAACTCATCTCAGAAATATAGAGAGATCCTGAAGAAGGTCGGAGTGTACAATGGCCGAAATGTCATGAATATGGCAATAAAGATAAAGACAATGGTCCGAACAATGTGAATAATGTAAATAATTACAATAACTCATCTCAGAAATATAGAGAGATCCTGAAGAAGGTCGGAGTGTACAATGGCCGAAATGTCATGAATATGGCAATAAAGATAAAGACAACAGTCCGAATAATGTAAATAATTACAATAACTCATCTCAGAAATATAGAGAGATCCTGAAGAAGGTCGGAGGTACAATGGCCGAAATGTCATGAATATGGCAATAAAGATAAAGACAGCAGTCCGAATAATGTAAATAATTACAATAACTCATCTCAGAAATATAGAGAGATCCTGAAGAAGGTCGGAGGTACAATGGCCGAAAATGTCATGAATATGGCAATAAAGATAAAGACAATAGTCCGAATAATGTAAATAATTACAATAACTCATCTCAGAAATATAGAGATCCTGAAGAAGGTCGGAGTTATACAATGGCCGAAATGTCGGTGATGGCAATAAAGAAAAGACAACAGTCCGAAAAATGTAAATAATTAGAATAAAAAGATATAGACAACATAAAATTCGGTGAGGCATGACCAAATTTTCATTCTAAAATGGAAGAAAAAAAGCTCGAAATGGAAAGGAAATAGTAAAATTAACTGTTTCCATACAGGCAACATTTGCCATTAATTGACCCATCTGTTAGTGTTAGTCCATCAATATTTATAAAATCTGTTTTGCTGCCTTATCTTTATTTCTACATAACCAACATTTGCTATTTTAGGTTGTTTGGCTGTTTTTGTTTAGTGGCATATCAAACCTCTATGGGTCATTTAATGCTGATATCTAAATATTTTGTATGCAGTTTTATTTATTTATGGATAATAATTTTTTTAGTGATACAAGTTTTACTAATTAATCCATAGCTGGGCGGGGGGAGAAGAGATGGATTTATACCTTTCCCAAGGTTATTTGTGCTTATCCTTCATTACCAACCTTTGTTTGATTATTATATTCAGTAACCTTTCCTAGGTGACAACAGTGTGACATACCCATCAATAAAATTGATAATGGTAACAGTAAGATTAGTAGTTTTTATCCAAGAAATATCTGATGTTCATTTACGGAACAGTTAGCATTACTGCTGTTTGATATTTATAAAATTTTGTTTGTTCATCTCACCTATAATTCTACACTTTTGATGTTTATCAATTTCTTAAATTTTTTTCTTTATCCTGGCTTTTACTTACCATATATATACTTGAAGATAGGTCACACTTTTTTTTCATCAAAATTTTGATAAAAATCAGATGTGTGATCTATCCACTCAACATCACAGAGAATCTGAAGTAGATTGTGAAGTATGATTGTCCGGGTGAATATCTTAGACTACAGCAAGGGAGAAAATGAATTTTTTATAACATTTTGTTTTTATGCAATTTCTTCTTCCAACAGTACTATGTTACACATCGAATTAAAGCGCTTGATCTGCACTGCTTATATTTACTATTTATTATCTGATTTCTTATGAAACACTATCATTTTCAAGTGATTTTAGGACTGAAGCAATAAACAGTATCCAAATTTTCATCTAAACATAGCAGCCTTGCACTCAATAAGTATATACCACGCAATTGCAACCAATCACTTTTCTTATGTTTTAATATATACAAGCAAAGTTTTGAAATAAAAGGTGAATATTTGATAATATTTAATTATATTTATGTTAAGAAAGGGCCATCTAATTCCACAGATTATCGCACATCCTATCTGCAAGTCAATCACAAATACCCACTTTGAAAACCAGAAACTAAGGGTGCTGCCTATATGTAGCATATATCTTCTTTT